CAGAGTTTTTGCGGACTCTAACCAAAGTTTTATTTAAAAACACATAAACCCGACGTTTCGGGACCCGCTCGGTCCCTTGGTCACGGGTGACTGTAGGTGGGGGCGCGGTGGGGAAGGTTGCCCAGGTGCTTAACCCAGAGGGCGCGGGGGAGGGGGCGCGGTGTGAAAGGTTGCCCGGGCGTTTGACCTTGCTAAGGCTTACCCCAGAGGGCGCGAAGTCCAGACACGTATGCGCTCGGGAGAGTGCCCTTGGACCGGTTCACTTTCTTACTCGTTGTTTGGATAAACCAGGACTCTAGATGAAGGCGTTTCCTCCAATGTCCCTCGGTGGCCACGATCTGGGTCTCGTCGAGGGAGAAAGAGTGCCCCGTTTTTTGCTCGTGCTCTGCCAGGGCGCTGGCCTCAATATCTCAAAAGGGCGCTGACCACTGGCCTCAGTGGTCAGCGCCCTTTTCCGACGGGCGCTGTCCATGTGTTCTACGGAGGAGGCCCTACGAGAAGAAGTTAAGAAGATCAAAGCTGATCTAGTTAACAATGGTTACCCAAAGCGGTTCATTAACGACATCTACAAACGCCAACGCCGCCCCCCTGCGACTCCGACCTCGAGACCGTCTAATCGGATCTGTCTCCCTTATGTGAAAAATGTGAGTGAGACCGTCGGACGCGTCCTTCGGAAACACGGCATCGCCGTCTCCCACAAGCCCATGTCTACCATCCGTCGGCGGCTTCCTCTCCCCAAGGACAGACCAGGAAGGGAAAGGGCTCAAGGCCTCGTGTACCGCGTGCCTTGCGCGGATTGCCTGGTCGCTTATGTGGGGGAAACGAAAAACTTCCCGGATCGTATTCGACGACACAAATACGTCGTGAGAAAGAAAGATATTGAGGCCAGCGCCCTGGCAGAGCACGAGCAAAAAACGGGGCACTCTTTCTCCCTCGACGAGACACAGATCGTGGCCACCGAGGGACATTGGAGGAAACGCCTTCATCTAGAGTCCTGGTTTATCCAAACAACGAGTAAGAACGTGAACCGGTCCAAGGGCACTCTCCCGAGCGCATACGTGTCTGGACTTCGCGCCCTTTGGGATAAGCCTTAGCAAGGTCAAACGTCCGGGCAACCTTTCACACCGCACCTCCTCCCCCGCGCCCTCTGGGTTAAGCCTCAGCAAGGCCAACCACCTGGGCAACCTTCCCCACCGCGCCCCCACCCACAGTCACCCGTGACCAAGGGACCGAGCGGGTCCCGAAACGTCGGGTTTATGTGTTTTTAAATAAAACTTTGGTTAGAGTCTGCAAAAACTCTGTCAATTTCTCCCTAACCAGACAGACCTCTGTCAAAAATGTTTACGAGTAAAGATCAGTTCAGAACGGGAGCCACTTCGAGCTGCCATACCACCAACAGCCAAACCGCAAGCCAAACATGCTCGCCGAAGGCCTTCGGAACCCTCAGAACCGGTCAGATCCTCGAGCTTGTATACGACTGCAGCGCTGCCGTGTACATCCGGGACCTTTCTACGCTCTCCGCTCGTCGGTGCCTGATCCGACTACACCTTTCTAGTATGCGCCGCTTTTTCCACCGCTTGGTGGTGGCGGGTATGTCGACGGGTCATTTCTTGTTTCCGTACTTTATAAACTGCATTTGTTCCTTTCTGGTCTAAAATACTGAACAAAGACTACTTTCATAAATAATTTAAACGTTTCGCGCCACTTATATTTTCTATTTCAACTAAGAAAAGGCTTTTAGCGGCTTTGACCAGTAGTAAGCCCAGGACCAAAGACTTCACATATCGCATGCTTTTGACACAGCCGGTCGCCCCCGTAGGTATAAGAGGTTTCCGCGTTGTCTGGTTAAAAAAATGACTCACTGATATTTAGTTACTCTCTCTGTGCCCGCTGGCTTGCCTGAACCCTAAGAAAGGTGGAAACCGGAAAAAAGTTAGATGCTTGAAGGGGCACTGAAGTCGATTTTGAGATCGTCCTTTTGTGATGATAACTCAATCTACATGCTCTAAGCATCCCAACAGACCTGAAACCACAACCGTTCATAGCTTATTTCGTCGTTAAGAGTGTGTTCAAAGATCGCGACACACCCTTTTTGGAAAGAAATTTGTTTGAAAAGAATTAATTTTTCTATTTCAAGCTTTTGGTTTTAGAAACTAATAGACCGATCTCACCAAGCGTTCCACGCATGCGTGACACCGCCATAACTGTAGTTCATAGGATGCAGGCGCCAGTTCACGAGACGGCTCATGCCGCCCCGTGCTCTGCTCACGCAGACCTCCAGCAGGGTTGTCGCGCATGCAGAAAGACTACAGCTCCCACGATGCATGTCGGCAGTGGTGGCATATTCAAACTAGCTGGTGAGATCGGTCTATTGTACACCCTTACACCAAATTTGATAACCATACACGAAATAGTTACAATCCTATGAAATATTGTCAACACATTGTAAGGCAGTAAACAAAGTAAAGTAGTAAATGTTTGAATGCATTTTTCTCAGTTCCGCTTTTTGCTGCAAATTTCATACGAAGGAATCTTTTGCTCAAAGGTAAAAGTATTCTTATACCACAATCAAGATGTTTACGAACTGAAGCTTACTAGGGAATCGGGCTGTCTACTTTATTTTGTTTTAAGTTAAGTCCACATTAAGAAAAATCTATTCTAAAAAATTGACATAGGACAGATATGCATTCACATTTTGAGGTAATGACTCTTTTTGAAATATTTACATTTGAGTTATAAAAATGAAAGTCGTTTTTGCCGTAATGCCGAATTAGAGTGAAGGTGTTGAGGAGGGGAGGGTACTCTCCTGTTCCCGTCCCATTTAGCTTTTCCCTGCTAAATGTAGCAGGGAATTTTTTGCGACAAATTTAACGGATGATTTTCTCCCATAAATTTAGTGGGGGAAATTTTTCTTCTAAATTTAGTGCGAATATTTTTCTGATAAATTTAGCGGGAGAATTTTTTCAGCTAAATTTAGCGGGGAAATTTTCTTTTATGGTGAATTTTTTCCGCTAAATTTAGTGGGGAATTTTTTCCGCTAAATTTAGCGAGGTAATTTTTCCGCTAAATCTAGCGGGAACGTTTTCCCACTAATTCAGCGGGAAATGTTTTCCGCTAAATTTATAGGAAAACATTTCCTCCTCCTTCCTCGTGACGTCATTATGGGAAATGTCCCATAATGCAACACACAGTTATGCCGATGCTGCTTAAGCCGGAAACGGGCTCCTAAGAGCTGCGCTCTAAAACTAGATAGCCCAAAGTCCCACGTCACCCACTTTATATTCAAGCAGTCAAAATGGTGCTTAGTAGGTTCATTTGCATATAATACTTAACAAAGAATGCCACATCTTATGCTATGTAAAATTATTCTGGAGAGCTGAAAGTTTGTGCAATACACGTGACATACACCTTATGTTAAATTTCTCCTGCAAATTTCATTCCAATCACTTGAGTAGTTCAGTTGTTAAATCTCTAACCAGTGTCCCCCTTTAACAACTCCCTTCGGTAAAAATTTTGAAATAAGACTACGGCTGGTATATATGATGGACAGGAAAATCTTTTCTATTTGCTTTTTCAAATTCAACTCTCTTGTTTAGTTATCACCCTTATATAGGTGGTTAATTGAGCTTTGTTAAAGAAGCTGTGCAGCGATTTTAAAGTTGAAAAAATTGGCATCTTCTGCTTTTGATATTGTTCACCCTTTCACAAATGACAGAAAACACACCTCCTTTCATCGAAATGTTGTGATTCCGCCGCGTAATAGCAAGGCAAAACTTAGAATATTCCCCAACCTGCAGCCACGGGCGGGGGCCATGAGAAACACGCGGCGTGACGTCAATGGGGAATCTTGTAGAAAGATAGCAAGTTGTTTGAATACCTGCTCGATAAAAGGTAACTTTTCTATAAATCTTGTCGTTCCAACATATATATAAGTGCGTCAAAAACCTGGTATCATCGACAAAACTTTTATTATACGGAGTTTTAGTGGCGCCATCTATCCTAGGTCCACAAAACCGTCAGCTCTCTCTGCTACCGCGAACAGCCGCCAGAAGCCAAAGGGGGAGGGGGACAGGGCCGGACGGGTATGGCCGGACCCGGATAAGACTTTCCTCCTTTCACAATATTGTTCGCGCGGCGCCCGCCGGCACGTGGTCACGCGGTCGCGAGCACATGAGTTCTCGCTGCTCACTGATGGCTCTAAAGAGAGAACTTTTCCGGAACCCTGCGCCTACCCCATTATTGTGACTGCGCAAGTGACCAGGAAGACGACGTACGAGTTGAGAGGCGGCAAAAACCTGTATCTTTTTCATTTTTTAAAATAATGACTAGGGTATCCAGGCAAAATCTGTTTTCTGTAGTTCACTTCAGAAGTGTCAGGCATCAACTTCCACAACAATTTATGCAAAGCCCTTTTTAATATTTGGTTAGGTAGAAATGTGGTTTCCCAGTGTCCTTCAGATGACATCATAGTGTTTCATAACTAGGGTAGTCTGTATACTGCAGTACTTTAAACAAGTTTTGTAGCGCAGAAGTCTGCATAAAAAAGCCAGATCTCAAAAGATTGAAACATATAGTTTATTATATGTGTTCTTGTTTTGTAATATGTCATGTTGCTTCAGCATTTGTGTGCATTGTGTGCTTCCTAAGATGTATAATCATTCTCTTTGGAATCTTGTAATGATGTGTCTCTTTGTCGCCTGGTGATAATAGTTTGAAGTTAATTATTAAAAGATGGCTTTATGTGCCATGCAATTACCATTAATGTGTGCCATGAAATGCCAGTGGAAGCCATGTGTATGAAGTGTGCCCTGTCATTTGCAGTTAGCTTACGCTTAGGAAAAACCCTTATAGCTGTTGTTCTCAGCCTTTGTGCTTCGTGGCATTGACAGTTTTTTTTTTTTTTCTACAAAATGTGCTGTTAGCTTTCTAGTTTCCTTGGCTTAGAATTTATAAAACTGTGTGCCTGCGTGTTTCAAGGCTCTTTTTTTGTATTATTACAGGGAAAAGGTGTGGATGTTTACGATGACAACCTCATTGAGCTTGAACAGTCGTCTCTGGCTGAGCCCATCACAGAGGTAGGAAGAACTTCTCTCATTGTGTAGCTCTGCTAAAGAGGGGGTCTACCCGAGGGGCACTTCTGCTGCTTTCTTTGGTTGTAGAGAAGGCACATTTCCAATAGAAAAATGTTGCTATCTCCCCTCCAAGAAAACCAAATATCCGACTTGACTCATGTTTCTTATACTGTTTTTCCCTTTAAAGTAATGAAACAATGGCTGTAGTTGCATGCTCATTGCTCTGACATGTGCTCTCACCTATGTAGCCATGATGCGGCCTTCAGTCTTGAACTTAAGGTAGAACAAAATGTAGATACTTTGGAAATGCATTAAGACAGGTCAACGTTTCATTATTTTTGCAAAATGCACAAAACATTTGGAGCAAAAAAAAAAAATGTTTGTTTTAAGTAATTGTATTTTTTTTTAGGCTATATATACATGTTTTTTATCCACTATTGACAGGCTAACTTTTTTTTATTATTTTAGATGATCCAAAAGGACCAATTTAATCCTGTTGAATATGTGAACTGAGTTAAGTTTTGTATAGCCAATTCTAAGTTGCTGACACTTGCTGGACACGGTTGTCAGTCATATGACTACAAGATTCGTGGGAGGAATGAATTTCTGTCAAACTTTTTAAACGAGTGACATTAAAGCCAGGTAAATGGGGATTGACTGCGTGATAAGTGCTGGATTAAGAGGTTCTAAACAAGGCTTAGCAGCCCTTTGAGTAGACTTTTCAAGTGATGGGGCATTCTATGCTTACATTTTTAACTTATTACTAGCTGGCTTCCTCTGTCTTTAATAAGAGTAATGCCTCTGCTTCAAGTATCTTTATTTCAAAATGGCTGTTCGTGCTGCCCCACAAGCCGCCTCAACTGGAGCTTTCTCTTGGGTCATCCCGAATGTCTGAAAACTGCATGGTGTGCATTTTTCTTTTGTTCATGAGCTATGTATACAAAGTTATGGAAGTTACTGGTACCAAGAGGTCTCTTCACGTGAATTGTTTACTCCCATTATCTGCCCAGCAGCTTTTATGCACTGTTCAGACCTCAACAAAGCAGATGCTGGTTAGATGTTCCACTTAGCATTGGCTGGCTCTATGCTGACCTTTCATAATTTTGTTTTTGAAGTGGGAGACCTGAATAGAACATCCCTATGTCTCTGGTAGCATGGCATTATAACATTTTAAGAAATAGTGAAAGTCTGGTGCCTGAGGCACTTCTGCGTGTCTCAGGCACCAGACTTTTACAGGTTGTCTTGTCCGTTATTTTATATCTCTGTGTCTCAGGCTTTAGATTATGCTGTTTCCTAACCAGCTTACCTGTATACTTTTGCTTCTTGAAAATCTGGTGTTAGTTTTAACTCTTAGCAGGAGGCATGGCCCTATGAGCTTGACACAAATGTTGGCAGAACAAACATTTTCTGTAGGTCAGGTGACGTGTCATATGCTACAGTTGTAGGTTCCACTCGTTTTTCATAATTTATTTGGTACAAGCTGAGCAGCATTCCTTTTGTGTGTATGTTACAGCACATACCCTTGAATTGTATCATGTAACATGTTTCACGAGCATAGCCCCTAATGGCTGGTGCACAAACTTTAGGCTTCTTTGCATAGTGATGATAGAGGCAGTAAAGGCCCTAGATTAAGCTCCTCTATAGCTAACGGTTGGAAGTCTCGAGGCTCAATTTGGTAACAAGTCTTTTCGGTAGCCAGAAAGGTTGGCTGGTAGCACTTGATAGAGTTCTTCTGAGCTATGTCCATAGACTTATGAGGACCTCCTCAAGTAACTTATGCCTAGGATATCTTCTAGTCATGCTCCTGTACATCCTCGCCACTCTGAAAGACATCCTAGCCCGTGGCTAATTCAAGCTAAGGAAGCCGCAAGGCGGTTTTGTGGGACAGTACAAGCGCAAGAGGGGGGGGGGGGGGGGGGTTATTGACGTGGAAGGGTGTGTGTGCTCTCTGGGTGCCTCTCCCTCCTTTCTGTGTGTGTGTGTGCGGTTGCAGCGAGACCAGACTGGCGTCCCTTCTCTCTCTCTCTTCCTGTGCCCGCTCTCGCACTCAAAGCAGTGGCCCTGTTGCTCGTTGCCGCAGTGGGGTGCTGGGGGCTTGTCTGGGTTGGGTTCTACTTGGCGCCCCCCTTTTCTTCCCCCCGTGGCTGCCGCTCGGCCCTACAGGACAACCTGGGCTACAAGCTGCTCCTTCGGCACGGCTGGAAGAGCGGCCATGGCCTTGGCAAGAACGAGCAGGGTAAGTTCAGCCTCTTTCTTGCCATCCCCATTCTCGCGTTCGTGCCTCGCTGGTAGTCTGGCGGAAGTTTGGACGTTGTTGCTGGTACCTGTAGATAAGGCTACATGTTGGTGAGTATGTAAACAAGGCTTCTGGCATTGTGAGACTCGGAGGATAGTGGATTTGCGTTGTGCGGGGCTATGCTACTACTGAGCGAGAGATAAAAGCGGCAGTGCACGAAAGTTGCTTAGTGAACAATATACGAGGCTATTTTCTGAAGTGGGGCTGGGTTCCTGGAATGTTTGCCTCTGCTTCAGCAAAGTGGAATGCTTGATGTTGTATTTCAAGATTTACTTGGGAGACAGAGTTCATGTGTTTGTTTCTCTTCTGATAGCGATATGGCCCCGTTGCTTTTCGTTTTTAAGACTTTCTGTCCATGCCTAGTTGAGTGGATTGTACATTCTTTTGTTTCTTGACTTACCTGGCTGGGTGTTTCTGCTATCTAAATAAATTGAACACATTTCTTGGTGTACCAACAACAATAGCTGATTCAAAAAAAAAAAAAAAAAAAAAAGATTGGTGCAAAGTTAAAAGGCTTTACACTGTTATAAAGAGCAACTCCAGTCGAAAACGAAACCAAAATAAATGACTGTTATCGCCTTAGTGGCACAAAATATGATTACACCCGAAATATTATGTCAAAGTGAAGCCGCATACTCCATTAAAGCTAATTTTAATTATGTGATCAGCTGCTCTAGCGGGTGGCAAGGGGGTTAGCTTTTAGTCAAGGAACACTGGCGTAGTAGCACCCTTGTGATGTCATGTCAATATGGATCTGCAGTTGATTGGTTGTACCGCCTACCGCAGCAGACATCACGTCACGGCCGTACCGCTGATGATGGATGTTCCCATCTCTCTAGCAGATAGTTTTGGTTTTGCCTTAGACGCCCGAAACCAAACTTTGTGCCTTGATATTTATAAAACTACACAAAATATTGAGAAAAAAAAAAATTATACCTTGTAATTCGGGGAGACTGCTTTAGCTGAGATCAGTCGTAATCACAAATTTAAAAATATTGACCGGAGTTGCCTTTAACAATAGCTAATTTGAATCAACTACCTGGGAGTGTAAGCTTTTTAGCCGCTCACTCAATTAACATGAAATTCGCAGGTGATGTTTGAAACCATGTAGATGGAGGGCAAGCAAATTTTAGTCCTGTGAATCAGTTTTATAAGGTACTATATATACCCCAGAACGAAGTAGAGCATAGCTTGGCATGGAATCTGCTCAATGATTCTGTTGTTGAGAAATGGTGTTGATAATCATGTATATGTCTGGTGGAATGCATACTGGAATACCTATTGCTGGTTATTATGAGAAGAAATTTCACAAAATATGCATTTCCAATTAAAAATAAATAAATTGAAAAACAATAGATTTTTTCCCACATTTATCAAGTTTTGCAAATTACAATTTTTCAAAATAAAGGAACATACAAATGCAAAGTCTGGGTTCCTAGCAACCGGCATTATAAAATTGTGCATAAGTATTAAAAATTAACTCTCACCAGTTTCCTACTGAAGCGATAGATAAAGGGCAACTCCGCTCACTTCCGAAGATTTCGGGATAATGAGTGATTTTGCATTAAAAAGCACTAATGAAAGACACTATGTCAATTTCTTCACAAAAAAATTAGATACAGTCACCAACCGATTTTTTAGACTTCGCAAGGACCGAAAAAAACGTCCGAATAATAGAGTGGTCTGAAAAATCAGCAGATTAAAAAACTTGCCTCTCTTACGCTAAGCGGACTTAAAAAAGCCGTAAATAGTGCCTTGCTTCAGGTTATGCCTGTGCGCCTTGTTTTAGGTTACACCTCCGTTGGCGTTCGGCAACTTTCTGTTAGCTTGAGAATCGCTGCCTTCTTTTCTAGCGTTATGGTCGAGTACTTTCTGCGCTTCTTAACGACATATCGCGGCGGCGGAAGAACAAATGGGGTGATGACGCCCAAGCCAGCGTAGTCCAAAAACTCAATTTACCGAGACGAGATTGAGATGAGAGGCGCAAGTCAAAATTGGACGTTTTAGTGATTTATATAGCGTAAGGTCGGTCTGCCAGTAGGGGCGACATTGGTTTACACTTTAGACGAGCAATTTCGCCAGTGCAGTACGACTGCTCTTTAACGTGCTCACGCAGTAGTGTTTCAGACCCCACGCCGGTACGATGCTCATCCAGATCGAAACGGGCAGGGGTGGGACTCGAACCCAGGATCCTTGGGTTCTGTAGCGCGAGCTTTCGCTCTACGCGTGTCGAGCTAAGTGTGCACTTAAGCCCACTCGGCCACCGAACCCCTCAGGCGCAAGTCCATGACTGCAATGGTGAATGAACAAAGCAAAAGGGAAACAACAATGATGATGATAATGACTCGCAGCTGGTGAGGAAAAAAAAAAAAGCCGTACAGCATCACCTAGCAGTAAGACCTGGCAGTATTGAAGTAGCGCTGCCAAACCAAGCCAATCCATGTGCAGCCAACATAGAGTCCAAAATGGCCGCTTCTTGGTGGTGTTTCCCGCTGATCGCTCGCGACGATTTTGTCCGAAAAATCTATCTTTCGAACCTCGAGCTGTCCGAAACATTGGTCAGGAATATGCACTATTTCTATCGGGTAGGTCACGGGTTCTCTTTTAGGTCCAAAAAATCGAACAAGTCCGAATTATCGGCGTCCGAAAAATCGGTCGGCAACTGCATATATTGTTAAATCTAATTTTAAACACGAGCAGAGCTCGAAACTGAAACTTCGGCTCTGTCCGGCAACATTGGCCTCGGACCGCCCAGAACATGGCTATCATGTGGTACAAGCTGTCACGTGATCCTCTATGCGACGATGGGCGGGATTTGGGCGGGCATGTGCTAGGCGCAAGTGTCGTCTGTACCAAACTCTTCACCACGTTTTGGTGTCTACGACATCCAACGACGTTGGCACAACTGCGGCATAATCGCGCCCGTGTTGTCCGTAGTGTGAACAAAACTCTGAGGGTCAATACTCACAAATGGTGAGACGACGGTGGCGGTGTTTATGCGGGAGACAGCGGTAACGGCGAAACTACAGCGAGATGGCCGTATGGCTCCTAGGAAGCGCGGTGCGTAGGCGCGTTACGCCTGTCCCATGGACACCGCTGAATGCCGAGAGGAAACGTTGCTGTTGTCACCAGTTACGCTTGCCCGGAGAAGTAAAAACAAGCAAAAAGGGACAATGCATGGTATTTAACTCAATGTTGGCTACGCCCATGCCGTAGCTTTCGCTGCGCTCTTGGTTGCACCTCAATTCGCCTGCTCAAGTCAGCCGATTTCGCCAACTTGGCGAGTTGCAAAGTTTGGTGGACCGTTTAAGGAACATTTAGGCAGAACTAAGTCGTCACATTTGACGCTTGGTCTTCCTAGGTAATACTGAAGAGGACTGCATTGTTATAAAGTTGACATTTGGGCTAGTTGGTAGTCTAACATATTGAGGTATTTAGCGCACAAGGTAGAGAGAAGAAGAACAGGACAGAAAAGAGCGCCAGTCACAACAATTTTTACTTACAGGAAAAGGAAGAGAAAGAAAAAGAGAATGATCCACCGGGGACACATGCACCTACCACCAGCCCTGTGGATGATGGTGGCTCGTTCATCCGGGCTCGTGTGGGCCCTTCATTGTCTGTTGACGGAATTCCTTTTCCTTGTTTGACAGCAACACGGATTCTACACTGATAGAGTTCCTGTCTTCACAGAGGATGTGGAAGGCCTCCAGCACCTCGCGGGTCAATTTGTCGTTGTTCCTTCCCAAGATGTTTGTCTCGCCGAATAAAGGTCTGCATGTGAACTCCCAACAATAGATTGTAAGATGTCCACCCACTGTAGCCTTCAAGGAGTAATGCTCACGGAGTCAATCACTGAGGCATCTACCCGTTTGGCCTATATAGCTCTTGCCACATGAAGGTGGTATCTTATATACGATGCCGGAAGCGCATGGAAGAAATTGCTTTGCATGACTGTTGGTGCACTTGTGTTCCTTGATACCCTCAGCATGCACATTCACTCTAGGGCAAATCTGACTTATTTTTTGCAGTGCTGAAATGATCACTCTGACTCCATAGCGGCTTGCAACATTTTTTAAATTACCTTAAAATCCTGAGAGATAGGCCACCTAACATCAAGAGCAAATCAGCTGAAAATAGGGAGTGGGTTAACTTTTGGTGTGCAATCAAGAAAATATTAAAACATTGCTATTTTTAGGTCGTGTCTCTTCTAAGCTTGTTATGGTGGCGAGGGGCAAAAATGCAGTGATACCTGTACTTTCCAGTCAGCAATGTTTGTTCATATCCCGCCATAGTGATTTAGCCGCTTTTAAGCCGAGGTCATCGTTGATCCCAACATTACTATTACTAGAAGTAGGCTATCTTTCGGTGTTTGAAAAAAAAAAATTGCAAATCAAGCCAAAAATAGGTGTGGGCTATCTTTCGGGGGTAGGACATCTTTCGGGATTTTACGGTATGGGACGTCCTGTGCAAGTACGGTATTACCACTGGCCTTGTTTTCTCGACACTGGTCTTGTTGGTCTGGAAGATTTTTGCTTTCTTCACCAGAGCATTTGCCATATCTGCCAATAGGGCTGACGAAAAGCTGGTTTTCTTAGCCTCTCGACTTGTATACTGAAGCTGGCTGTCATAGTATGAAGGCAGGACTTCTTTAGTGCATTGGCCGAGCACGTTAGAGCTATGCCCCTCTTGATGACTTTTGAGTGGGTTGAGCCATAGTCTAGAATGCCTTTCTTGGACTTTGGGCAGTACGACCAACAAACATGGGTGTCACCCAGATGGAGCGAAAGGTCCAGGAACTGAAGTACCCTTTCTTTGGGTACCTCAAAGGTGCACCTAAGGCCCCCTTCGTACTCAGCAAAGGTTGTTGTAATATCTGCCACTTGTATGTCCATACGTTCGCCATCTTCAAGAATTGCCAGGAAGTCATAGCGGGCAGCCTT